TCTGGTACAGCTTCAACAGATGAGGCTTTTCCTTCTCAAAACGGGTCACATAATTTTCAAGAAACAACTCCTCAGAAATAGTAAACGGTGTAAACAAGCTGGCACTCTTTCCTCTCAAACCCTTTGCAATCAAATACCGGACCACCAAACCCCTCGGAATGATCCTTCCCTCCAAACTATACCCAAACATAGTCGGCCACTTGGCAAGGGCCAAAGGGTCCCACCCCAACTCATCAACACAAAACCGCATCACCTCATTGATTTTATCTTTTGACATCAACATAAACAGTGGATTCTTCCTGAACGTATCGAGAACCACTTCTTCAGACCAACCCCAGCTCTTAAAGGCGTCAACTTTCGCGTCCCACCGCAATTTCGAAACACCCCTTTTGGCGTGCAAAGCCATCACAAACCCTATTTTCGAAGGGTCAAACCCCATTTCCTTAACTTCATCAACAGTCCTCTTCAGGTCATTAGACAAGAGAATAGAGGGCCTCGTACGGAACAAATAGGAGATGTTGGAGTCCCTGACTCCAACATCCACCAACATGTTCACATTCTGTACAGCAGCTTTGTAATCAAGGAAATGACGATTACCGAAGACACAATCGATTATTTTCTTATCAGCATGAAGGAATCTCCTTACCAATTCGAAGGTGGGGATGACGTTATTCTCGAGGCTGGAGGTAAGGAGTCTTGGGCACCGGTTCACCAATTGAACGATGTCGGAGATGGAAGCGCCTTTGGAGGCTAAAAATTGGAACTTTGGCAAAACCCTTTTGTGGGGGTTGCATGTAAGCAAGCTGGGTATTCTTCTGAAGATGCTGTTTATCTGGGAATTTGAAAACCCGTTGTTTCTGAAGAAGGCGATTACTGAGTCGGGCTTTTCGGCGGTGTCGAAGCGAACGCGTTCGGAAGCTTTGAGAGCAGTTTCGGGTGAGAAGGCGCAGTTGTTGATGAGGTAAGAGACGATGAAGGAGTGGTGTTGGGGAGCGAGTGAGGTGAATTTACATTTCAGAGAAAATGTTGAGGGAAAAGGATTGGGTTGGAGCGGTGTTCTTGCGAGAAGGGGTTTGAAGCGTTGGGAACGATACATCTGAACAGTGGGTGGAGGGAGCTTCCGAGCTTGCCTTGATGTGTAGAGAAGAGTAGGATGAAACGGGGGCTTGTTTGATTCTACCATGTATTTTTTTCCCCTTCAAATAAGTTTTTTATTTAAGAAATAAATCGTTTAAACATAATATTAATCCATAAATATATTTTTAATTTCTTAAATATAAAATTAGTTTTTTTAGATTCTAAAATTAAAAAAAAAATCTTATTTTCATTCTTATACTTATATTTTGTCAAAAAATCTGATAAATATTGTCACATAAAATTTATTTATTATTGTCTTATTGGTAAAAAAATGACACTAAACCTAACTGATTTTACATAATTATCTTAAATTGTTACTTTTATATATGTTATTAGTAATTTAAGGGATTAAAATAAGATTTTTAAAAATTATAGGATCAAAAATAATAATTTTAAATTTGAGAGATTAAAAATAAATTTATCTTAAATTTAAAGGATTAAAATTATATTTAAGCCAAAAATAAATAAATAAAAATATTCTTTTACTTCTTGTAACATATTTAATGTTATTTTTTTTTTAAAAAAAATTGTCCTTATTATTTTTTGTCAATGTAAGTGTAATGTAATTATTTTTTTCGTTTTTGCTTTTATAATATCTATACTTATTTTATTATTGTTAATAAAGACAACATACTTTTATATACATATTTTGTTGATCTTATTATCGATTTTGCATTTTGGTAGGAATAACAATGTAAATTAAACTCAGTGGATCAACTTGTCAATTTTTAGGATGTTGGATTGAATAAATAAATTCGCTTAATCTGTTCTATGAAGGAGGCATGTCTCTTGCTATGTAGCACTTGAAAGGTTAAACAAAAGGCTAATGCAGATAATGTTATGGTATCTGATATTAACACTGATTAGGATGAGGGTACATTTATATGGATAAGTTGTTGTAAAATGGAGGTTTTGATCTCTTTTTCAAGGTTTGATGGTCAATGTTTTGGGAAGCTAGATGAGGAAGTTCCACCACTACCAATATCACAAGATGATTTGACCAAGTTCCCAAAAGTGTTGATTATTGATGAATAGTTTAATGGTATAAACCTTGGAAGGGTTCCTTGATGGTCAAGATGCTTGAAAAAAGGGTTGTGTTTCATCAGCTAAAGGCAAAACTTAATCAAGATTGGGCATGCAAAGGTAGAGCATATTAACTTTCTCACCAATACCATGATTTTTATACAAGTTAACATGAATGAGAATGTCTTAAAAGTTGAAAAATTAATTTCAATACTCTTTCTTCTTTATTATTAGGAATGTTTGTCTGTTTTAAAATTGATGATCCAAATTAAACTAAATAAATTAATTTAATTTTTTAATTAAACTAAATTAAATTTAAATCAATTAAATTCAACCTTAATCACATGACTCTATGCAGTAGATTCATCTGAAAAGGTTAGTGAAAAATTGAATATGGAGTGAAAATTGGTCTAACTCGCATCCTACTTCACCAAAAAATAAAGTCGAGGATGAAGATAACAGAAACGTCAATGTACTCCACACTATTATAAGATATTTATAAAGGTATAAAAAAATTGGGCTCTTTTGTTTGCATGTTTATAATTAGTGAAATATAATTTTATATCAATAAAAAAAATTTTCTTTCAACTATGAATGATTATTCTATGTATACATGCCTAGCTTACTAATCTAATGAAGATTAATCACCACTAAACTTAGCCAAACACGAATGGATGAGTCCATTATTGTCAGTATTAGACAATACACAATACAATTCACGCTAAGGGAAATACAAATCGATGAATGAGAATTTTTTGGTGCTTGAATCGCCTAAATGGCGAATGAATCATCTGAATTGCATTTTGTACATGAATTGTAGAAAGCCACCTTTTTAAAAAAAAAATAATCATTAATGGAAAAAGAGGGAATGAATTGATCCTTTCCCTTTAGTTAGACCCAGGGTGGCTCATTCTTCTTAAACCATCTTTTACCTATTTCTTCTTTGCCCTTCCCACTCTCAGTCTGACCCATTGTGCTTTGTGTCTCTCACTTTCTTCTTTGTCTTTCTTCTTTGTTTGTCACCACATTTCAAGTTTGGTGGCCACTTAGTTAGCCATTCGATTTCAACATGCTTATATATTCATGTTTTGACTTTATATATGTTTCTTTATGTTAAAATGATTCTAGATTTATAATTTTGTTATTGATCATGAATTTGTAATTTCATGTCTTTATTGGTTCTATGTGTTATGATCTATTATTGATAGATCACAAATTTTACAATTCACGATATGGTTCCATTTGTGTTTGAAAAATAAGGGTTCAATTTCACAATTTGAATCTCAATTCAACTACCATGGATAGGTCCCTTAAGATCTTGCATCCATGTTGCAAGCTTGCGTGAGCTTTTTGGCAATTTAAGGGTTCTTGTGAAAAACACATTTAAGAACCAATACTTAATTTGTGAAAGTGTTGATTGCTGATAAAGAATTTAATGAGTGGTAGGGTTCCTTGATGGTCAACATGCTTGGAAGAAGGGTTGCATTTCATCAGCTAGAGGCAAAACTCAGTCAAGATTGGGCATGTAAGCGTAGAGCATATAAACTTTCTCAAAATACCATCATTGTTATACAAGTTAATGTGAATGAGAATGTCTTAAAAGTTGAAAAATTAATTTCAATACTCTTTATTATTAGGATTGTTTGTCTGTCTTGAAATCGATGATCCAAATCAACCTAATTAAATTAATTCAATTTTTTTTAATTAGATTAAATTCAATTTAAATCAATTAAATTCGTCTTTAACCACCTCACTCTATGCAATACATTCATGTGAAAAGATTAGTGAAAAATTGCATACGGAGTGAAAATTGGTCTAACCCGCATCTTACTCCACAAAAAATAGAGTCGAGGAAGAAGATAACGGAAACGTCAATGCACTCCACTCTATCCTAAGATATTACTGATGACAAAAAATACTATCCTAAGATATTTATAAAGGTATAAAAAAATTGGGCCCTTTTGTTTGTATGTTTGTAATTAATGAAATATAATTTTATATCAATAAAAAATATTATCTTTCAACTATGAATGATTATTCTATGTATACACGCATAGTTTACTAATCTACTCCCTCCATTTTTTATAATCCTTTTGACACTACTTTTTTATTCTTTTTTCATTGTTACTTTTCTAAAATTAATGACTTTTTTTTTTTCATTTTTACCCTTGATAATTAATGTGTATTTACTGAATAATGTGTTTATTCATTTTTAATGTATTTATTTCTTCTCCAACCACCTAAAGGGTATAACAAGAAAATAAGTAATAAATACTATGAAAAACTAAATTATCAATCATTTTCTTAATTCTTGTACATAAACCTTAAACGTAAAAAAAATGGAGGGAGTAATGAAGATTAATCACCACTAAACTTAGCCAAACATGAATGAATGAGTCCATTATTGTCGGTATTAGACAATATGCAATATAATTCACACTAAGGGCAATACAAATTGATGAATGAGAAATTTTTTGGTTCTTGAATAGCCTAAATGGAGAATGAATCATCTGAATTGCATTTTGCACATGAATCAAAGAAAGCCACCTTTGCCCTTCCAACTCTTGATCTGACCCACCGTGCTTTGTGTCTCTCACTTTCTGTTTTGCCATTCTTCATTGTTTGTCACAACATCTTAAGTTTGGTGGTCACTTGGTTAACCATTTCATTTCAACATGCTTATATATTCACGTTTTGACTTTAGATATGTTTCTTTATGTTAAAATGATTCTAGATTTATGATTTTGCTATTGATCATGAATTTGTACTTTCATGTCTTTACTGGTTCTATGTGCTATGTTCTATTGTTGATCACAAATATTACAACTAACAATATGGTTCCATTTGTGTTTGAAAAATAAGGGTTTAATTTCACAGTTTGGATCTCAATTCAACTACCATGGATAGGTCCCTTAAGATCTTGCATCCATGTTGCAAGCTTGCGTGAGCTTACAGTTACCCATATCTAAAACGTTTCATGCTTCTTAAACAGCAGTTCACTCATTCCCAAGTATCAAAAAATAGGGAAGGAAAATTTGGAGTTTTAACGTTGAATGGCTGTTTGGCCTGTTTCAACGATTTTCCAAATACACTATAAGTGGTGCATGTACTAGTAAAAGCATAACGCGTGCAGTAAATTGCCAAAAAGCTAGCTTACAGTTACCCATATCTAAAAGCTTATATTATAATTAAACTAAACCAACACAGTCCAATGAAAAAAAAAACCTCAATCACATCACATAAAGTTAAGTACTAAAAAACTAAAAATGTTCTTACAGCTCCATGATTCTATCATAAGCAACATTTTAATATTCATATATTCTCCTCATCTTTCTCTAATGAAAGAAATTACCTCACATCTTCCCTATCTTATTGAATCATATTCAAGCTTCTCCCCCAAAGTGAAAAGCTTCTTTCAAAGCACCATTTTCAGAGTAAGAAAAGAAACACAGTATAAGACAGACAAGTTTCTTTCTGATCAAACTTGTTGATCCTTAGTATATTCTCAGCCGCACTTATCCTTCTCAAGTGACCATCTTGAAGCTGTCATTCGATAAATTTCCCTAGTAAGTGTCGGAAACAATCGTTCGATCACTCAAACTTTGCCTTCACTTGACATTCCAGTAACATGGAACAAATGAAACATGAACTAGATATTTTTTAAATTACACAATGGTTGAAAGAGTTTTGACATTATATCTTCTTCCCTATCTCTCCTTTATATATAAAGCCCAATTACCCAAAACATTAAGATATTTAAAGCAACAAACGAAACCTAAAAACTGAGATTTATGAGAACTGGTATCTAAAAGATCCTTGCCGGTGTATACTCAAAATTCATGAATGGTATAAATAAAAAAATGTGACGGGAATTGGAGAATGCAACAATCAACAAGGCTCCAACCCATCAAAATGAACGAATCAAGCTAAATCAGTTGAATTTATAGACAAGGTTAACACAAGTGCTTGAACTGGAGAAATTTGTGCTCATGATGAGCTAATCATATGATAACCACACGGAGAAATT